TTGCTTTCTTAAACCCCATTTAGAAAAAAAGAACATACTTACGAAGGTTTGTAGAGGGACTCAATCACACTGTCTAAATTTAGTGCTAGAATAATGCAGGATGGTGTAGCAAAAGCAAGACCTATTAACTGTATTTACATTTGAGGAGATACGGTGTAAGTCATGTGTACTGTGATCTTTAGTTGATACATACGATCTATAATTGCATCTAGAAACCTCACCAATTAACCAATTATTGCTAATGATACTCCTTTCCTAAATCAGAAGAAATTTCTGTAGCCTGCAGGAGTGAAAAAAATTGGGAGCAACTAAAATATTGGGTTACCAAGGATGTGCTCTGAATAAAGTAACTTTGTCATTGTAGAAATAGAAATGGAAGGCTAGTTCAGTGGTAGAGCACTTGCCTAGCATGGGCAGTGCCCAGGGTTCAATTCCTAGCATCTAGAGAGCAAGAGAAAGAAAGGAAGGAAGACAGGGAGGGAGAGAAGGAAGAAAGAAGGAAAGAAAAGAAAGAGAGGGAAGGAAAGAGGAAGAGAGGGGAAAGAATATCAACGTGACATCCTTCTACAAATCATACTTTGCCATTAAGAGGCTTTGCATTTCAATGAGGCAGCCTATGTCTATTCTAACATACTGTCTTTACTGTGTGGGAGTGAGCAAAGGATGGCCATTTGATTTACATTTAGGAGATTTATAGTCTGCTGTCATTGTGTTAGGTAGTTTCACTTTAGTGTAACAAATAACTGAGATAACTAAATTATAAAGAGAAAAGATTTATTTTGCCTTACACTTTTGGAAGTTCCAGGTAATGATAGATTGGCCACAATTCTTTAGGCCATTGACAAGACAGAGCTTTGTTTAGAAGTGCATTGTGAGAAAAAGCACTGACATCATGGCTAAAACACAATGAAAATAAGGCCAGGGCCCCACATATCCCTTTGAGGTCATACCCCAATTACCTAAGAGCCTCCCATCAGGCCCCACCTCCTAAAGGTTCTACCACTTCCAGTAATGCCACTCTGGTGACCAAGAATTTGGGTTTGGGGAGACATCTAAGATCCAAACTATAGCAAGCATCTTGGAAATGGGGCTGTCTTAAATCAGTGCTTTGCAATATTTTATATTGCTGTTAGGGGTTGTTGTAGAAACTTGCTAGATTATGACAACATTTTTTTAAATGGAATAGAACAAAAAATATTTAGTTCACAGTATGTATACTAGGGTTAAATATTATTTTACAAAATTCTTGTTACAGAGGAGGGGAGTGTGCACATGCACGCGTGTGTGTGTGTGTGGTGTATGTGCCTTCTTTGCAACATTGTGTAAATTTTTAAATTTAAATGAATTTGATAATTTATGATTCTATATATTCGAGGTATATTTGATGACTTAATATGCATATATCATGAACTACTCACTGTAATAAAACTAACATATCTATCACTTCAATAGTCATCACTTTCTTTGTGTGTGTATGTGAACACTTATGACCTAACCTCTTACAAAATTTCAAATATACACTAAATTATTAATTATAGTGAAGTTGTTTCTATTACTTGAAAGAACTTGTTTATATTGCATAAAAGTCTATTCCTTATTTTTTATTGGTTTTAAAAATGTTTCAAAACCAATTGTAAGAGAGATTCAGAAAGAATCTTACAGAGCTACCAGATAAGGGTAAGCCCATGTGTGAAGCTCACCAGCTGCTCCCTTTTTCTGGCTGAAACCAGTTTACCCAGCATAGCAGAACAAGCTCTTCCTGAATCCTGCCTGTAGGACAGCCCATCTATCCCAGGGACACAGTGAACTGCTTACTCCTTGTTTCTACTCTACAATCTTGCGTCTCCATGCTTTTTCTGGTGTTTTTCCCTTGGCCTCAAATGCTCTCAGAAGCCTGAAGCATTACCTTTGCTGGATACTGTTTTACACCCAACTGTTCTGGCATTGCCTCTCATTTCATTTGGCTTAGCATCTTTACAGACTTGTCATAGCCAAATATACTTTCCAGCATTTACTAAGGGCTTAAATGTCTGTCCCACCTTAGTAGACTGTGGAGATTTTGAAGGCAGATCTTTATATCGTAAGACCTCAGGTTCTTTTCTCTTGTGTATACTGTGTTCTCTACTGCTTTTACAAGGACTTTGTTGTTTTCAAACAACACAGATTCATTTTAAACAAGGCAAAAAAGCAGTTGAAAAATTACATGAAATTCTACAACCTAAAGATGACCAGCTAAAGCCTAATCCAATGTCCCACTCTGCTTATGCACACATACAGATAGAGGTCACCATATGGACAGGTGCACACTCACACACGCACACACTCACGTAATGCTGCATGAGTAATTTCATGCAGGATCCTGACCAATTTCTCCTCTCAACAATGTCCAGAACACCTTCTATGCCAGTGCTATACCTGTATATAATTTTTAATGGCTGCTTATAATTCTAATTTATGGTTTACCCTGGGTTTGATTTGGTTGTCATTTATCAACATTAAAAGCAGTAGTGGTGGACCTGACTTCTTAGTCCTTACCTGCCATGAGTGTAAATTTAAGAGCAATGTTGTTGTCCTTAATTTCTTTGATTAGCTGCAGAGTCCTGGGCTGGTTTAATAACTCCCTCCAAATCCTTCTTCCCTTAATCATTGGGCTGTGTCCTGTTAGAATTCCTGTGTATCAGAATCTCCTGTCTAGCGATGTGGTATTTTTAGTCAGACCTTCTCTTTGTTATGACAGTCATCGGTAGCTACATAGTAAGGATTTGGCTTTTGAAGCTATGCCTTTTAGAAACAAATAGTGTAGAATCATGCATATATTTTGTATAAATGTTTTTAATGTCACCTTCCTGACACAGGATATATATCTCTATTGTATCTGACTTTCCCCTATTCTGTGGCCATGTAATCCAAGATGATATATGATTGTTTTCAATGAACATAGCCCTTTCACCACACACTTCTGCTCTTTATTCATTGTACAAAAAATTGGATATTTTCTTACATATATACAATGTACTTGGAGCAGATTCACCTCTGCCATCGCTGTCTTTTATCTCCTTGCCATTCCTACTTGTTCCCACTCCCCCAAAATAATCCCCTTTCTATGTTCATGTCCTTATTTTTATTCATGTCCTTATTTTTAATATGGATTCCAAATATGAGAGGATATTTATCTTTCTGAGTCTGGCTTAATTTCCTTCAAGTTCCATCCATCTTCCTACAAATGACAATTTTGTCATTCTTTATGGATGAATATTTAACATACTATTTATCTATCTATCTATCTATCTATCTATCTATCTATCTATCTATTCTTCATCCATTTATTTGTTGATAGGCACTTATGCTGATTCCTTAACCTGGCAATTGTAAATAATGTCACAATAAGCATGTATGCTGACTTTTATTCCTTTGACCATATAGCCAGGAGTTGTATAGAAAGATCATATAGTAACACTATAAATTAAAAACCAAAATAGCAACTAATAGATCCAACTAATCCAACTAATCTATTAATCCAACTAATAGATGGGCAAACGAATTGGTCAGACAGTTCTCAAGAGAAGCATAAACAGTCAAAATGCATGAAAAAAATGTTCAACATTCTTAGCCATCAGAGAAATGCAGATCAAAACTACATTAAGATTTCATCCCACTCAAGTCACAATGGCTATCATCAAAAAAACAAACAACAACAAATGCTGGTGAGAATGCAGGAAAAATGAACCTTTATACACTACCTAATAGCCCACAGAAAATTGTTTTCAGCTATTCATCTCCCAAGTGATTACAATTCAGAATATAGAAATAATCCACTTGTATTCTTTGATAGGTGTGCATCACTAGTACAATTCATGGGGTCACACTCTTTATTCTCTGGAACTGATGTCAAGAACTACTCAAATATGTGTTTTGATAATGAAACATCTGGTTAAAATTTGGAAAATGCAAAATCTCATTGTTATTAAAGAAAATATGGTTAGTTTTGTGATCTGAACCAGGAATATGTAATCTATTCCTCCAGTGAAACGGGATAAACTAACTATAGTCCTTCATTCCTTTGTGTCAACTCTTCTGTTTTTAGCTCCCCAGTCCTCAGGAATTCTTGTGGCTTCAGCAGTATATTTCATACTATATTGTAGCAACCCAACACTCTTTTAGAAAGACTTTTTCCACTGTGTTCTAACCCTGAATCTCATGTCACCAAATCTCCGTGACATTAGTATCACAATAGCATGTTGCAGTAGGTTTTCATGTAAAATGTTTCCATTTATTGTCGTGCTATAGTTATCAGTATACAGTAACTTCCTGCACTCTCTTTAATTATCTTATCTTGTTAATACCTGTACTTCTCTATAAGTGTGGTTCTCAGTCAGGGTAGATTTTTTTCCATCAAGGAAATTTGGCTTTTTTTTGCTGTCACAATGGGAATCTGCTTCTGACTTCTGGGTGGAGGAGCTCAGGGATCCTGCTAGATATTCTACAATGGACAGTGCCCACCACACAACAAAATCCTCTCTAATTTAAAATGTCAGTGTTGCAAAGGTTGAGGAACCTTGTTGTGTGGAAACTAACTTCATGTTTTAAGTCCAAACTCAGATTTTCCTCATACCTGAGATGTTCAATTTGATATATTCTCTTGATTGTACTAGCTACTCTGACACAAAAGAGAAGGCTGTATCTGACATCTCTGTCTTATGCATAGAGTAAAGGAATGTGGTAGCCATCATCTTCATCAAAAATATTTTCCTTGTTGGTAAAATAGATTTTTATGAGCAATTCACATCAACACAAAATAGCAAATGGGGAAAGTCAAAGCATATTCCCAAGCAAAGAATAAAACCAGAAGGATTACTAATTATGATTATCCTCAGATCCTCTCTGCTCCAAAGGACATTTGTTGTTATGAATTTGTGTTTGCAAATGCATTGAGGAAAACTTCATGGGTAGCTTACTGGAAAAACCGTTTCATGTTTTTCTCCTTTCATTTTTTTCTTCAGACATGTCACATTTTCAAGAACAAAATGATTTAAAAGGATTACTAGAAAATCTCCACCAAAATATCCAAGCCAAAAAAAGAAAGAATGTAGAAATCATGTGGCTAGCTGCAACGGTAAGCCCTGTCACGTGAAGTTTTATTCTGGTCACATCCTCACCTGTAAGCACTGTCAGGTATCTACCATTACCTTTGCACGTTGGGTTATTAGATTTCCTCTTCCATTATCCAAGGGATGAGGCGTTTTCACACTTGTTGGTAGTGCTATCAATAGACTAGAACAGAAGATAGAGGAAGATGCACACAACATGACAAAATTCTTACTCCTTAGCTATTCTTATTTGTATTCTGAGGTTAAAATGAAGAATCTGTGATTTTCTTCGTATCGCAGGTTGTGGACAATTATCAGTGTTCCATATCAACCAGGATTTTGAACTGTAACTCTAGAGACATGTGGCTTCCACAGAATGTGGTGATCAGATCTCTGACTCACAGCTCTTGGACATATTGTTCAGTTAATGAGCTTATAAATGGGTTTTTTCATTTAGATATTGGCATCAAATTTCTTACTGATGGATTGCTGTGGGGTAGTGAGCTGTATTTTGTATGATTTTTCTCTCACTTAATGGCACGCTTAGGGTGGAAGATCTGCCCGTTTTCCCACTCCAGACTTCTCTAACACAGAGAGAATCATTCTTACATATTTCAAGCTCTTTTCTGGCAAGTTTGAGACATAACTCATATGAAATTTATGAATTCTGCTAAACTTCAAATGCAAACATCCTTTCTTTAGGATACTTTCATCAGGAAATCTCTACAATGAATGCCTTGTTTCTGGATTTAGCAGTACTACTCATAATTTGGAGTTTAGGTTAACCAAGATTCTAGGATTCTCTATTTATTGTCTATTAATAGCATTTAAAAACAGTCTTTCCCCTACTGCCAGTGCTTCAATTGTCACCCAATATTACTGACTCTCTTTTTGGAAAAAAGAATGGATATTTACCATAAGCCTATATAGAACAACAAGAGCAGGGCAATGAAAGCTGCTTTCGTGTACCTCCACCCTTTCCTGGAGTCCCAGAAAAAAACATCAAAAGTTGCAATATGAAATCCTGCTTTTAGGCTGCTCATGGCCACCAGTCCCATTTAGCACCATACTGCATTACACACATCTCTTTGAAGTCATTCTTTCCACTGTGGCTACTCTTTGTTTCTTCAAAGACTAGTATGATTATTAATTCTCCCAAAATTTCCTAAAGGAATGTCATAAGTTTTATTTTTCTATTTTACTTATGATAGTATTTAAGTAGTTTGGTCATTGTTCAAGGCCCTCAGACAACTTGGGAGCATATGAATATGTCAAGATACAAATACTGTTAAGTTAAATGAACAAGAGAATTCAGGATGCACATAAGCAAGCACAATGTATATTTTTCACTTAGTATATTCAGTTTTTCCACTTGAGTATATACAAGATTTCCCATAAATCTTGTAATTTCTAAAATATTTTTATATTTTAGAAATATATGTGGGTATAGAAATGTGTATAGCACACAAATACAGCTCCTGTACAACTTACAACCGAATAACTGATTTGTCATTTCTGTAGGCTGAAACCTGGGTTAATATACTATTTATAAACAAAAGAACTTATGCTCTTAAAATGAAGGAATATGGATTTTCTTTTGAACTTTCCAAAAAGCTTTTATTCCTTTCTTTTTTTTCCCCTTTAAATCTTTTTTTTTTCAATCTTTTTCTAATTGTTGTGCTGGGTGGGGTACAATGTGACATTTGTAAAAGTTCTTACAATGTATCAGATATATCATACTTGAATTCACCCCCTACACCATTCATCCCTCCTCCAAAATCTGCTCATGTAGATGTTTTACATTCTAATTTAAAAATACAAAATTGTTCAGGTTTACCTTAATTTAAAGACTAAAAATTAGAAATGAAACAAGTCCTATGCTAATCAAGTATGCTAAATCAAGCTTGTATAATTCAAGAGTTCCAGAAATATGGAAATCAAGACCCCACTTGTCTACTTCACTGGAATTTCCTCACCTCCACTTGTTTTTAAATTTGGAACAGCAAATATTCTAAATAGGCTCACTAATATAATAATAACAATATATTTTAGGAAGATTAATCCTTTTAAAAATTATGTCTCGAAAGTAGCCATGATGGTCTATTTTATTACTGTGAATGTAGTCAGCTTTTAAAATCTGAAATACTGTTTATTTGAAAGGATTAGAATTTTCTAAATGAAAAAGGCTATATGGTGAAATCAGGTTCTCATATTTCTTTACTTTTATTGGAAATAGAAAGTAGTAAAGATCTACATTAATATGGACATATAAATCTTAGTTTAAGCGTCAGAATCATAATTAAAATATATTAAAAATCCTCAATAAAACTGTATTCTTATTTCTCTGCAAAGCAGGAAATGTTTAAGGCACCCTTGATAGCAGATAAGATAGTAAAGTAGACCTTTATTCTATCACACAAAATTTATCTTAAACGCACGTTGATTGGTATTGTTGATGCTGCATTTTGTTGTTGGGGTCTCATATCAGAGGCCTGTCCTGTGACAGGAGAAAAGGAATGGAGAGTTTTACCTATTACCCATCAGGCAATGGGGCAAGGGAAAATTGCTGCTTAAAAACTTTTCTCTGACTTAAATTAGAATATCAGAAAGAAAGACCTCTATAGGAAAACAGGACATAACAGAAGCTAAAGACTTAATCCTTGCCCTTGGGAAGAGCTGTATTTGCATCCTGGTTCTGCTCTGTTGAGTGCAAGTTTCTTCATCTGACTTCACTTTAGATTCCTCATCTGTAAAGGGAGAATAATTATGTCTTTCTCTAGAGTTCATGTGAAGTTAGTTCACTAACAGCAAGTCTTTGTACAATTTCCTCGTGTTGTACCTGGTATACAGTATGTGTGCAATAAGTGGTGGCCATTTTTGTGCTCGCAGTGTTGCCTGGTGGTTCCCTTATTTGATGTAGATGTTTAAAATCTCATGACATTGTCTGAGTGCAGTGGCTTACAACTATAATCCCAGCTGTTCAGCATGCAGAGATCAGAAGGATCAGAGATCAAGGCCAGTCTAAGCAAGAAAATTAAAAAAAAAAAACTACTGAGAACCCATCTCAACAAAATAAGCCAGGCACGGGAGTCCGTGCCTGTAATCCCAGCTATGTGGGGGGTGTAGGTAGGAGGCTCCTAGTCCAAGGTCATACCAGGACAAAAAAAGCAAGATCTGATCAGAAAATAGCTACAATAAAAACAGCAGGGGATGTGGCAGAAGCGGATAAAGTCCCTACAGGGTTTCCCCTGTTTTCAATGCAGTCGTTCATTGCTCCTCGGCTGTGGTTTTCATCTTCATCCTGCAGGTGAACAGTAACCTGTTTCCCTTTGCATCTGACAGATTTGTCGCAAACTAAATGGCATTCGTTTCACCTGCTGTAAAAGTGCCAAAGACAGGACATCCATGTCAGTGACGCTGGAGCAGTGCTCCATCCTGAGAGATGAGCACCAGCTGCAGAAGGACTTCTTTATCCGCGCACTGGACTGCATGAGAAGGTATCACACCTGTCTGCAGGTCTTTTTTACTTTATGGTCACTTGGAGTTCTTTTTTTTTTTTTTTAACCACCCATCTTACTGATTGATTGAGTATTTACTAACATCACTGTCTTTCCATAGTTTACAGCTCCTGGCATGAAAAGAGAAAATAGTTTTAAGTTCTCACTTTAGGCAATAAAAGGAAACGTGGCCACACATGCGTTTGTTAATATGCATACAAGCCACATTTTGTCAGCTCATTAGCTCTGGTTATATATAACACTTGAAGAGCACATTTTCTTGACATGTGTTTATGAGTGTGTGAAAACTAAAACTAAGTCAATTTTCAAACAAAGCATTTCGAGATTGCATTTCAGAGGTCATCTTCCCATGGCCTGCAGGGTCTCTGACATGGTCATCTCCTTCCTAAAATTATTTTCACATCGCTCATTATAAATAAGGAGGGACCCTGATACTTCAGAGAATTGCTAGTGATACTCTGCTGACATTTAAAATGCTGTGCCCCAAGTCATGTTTCTTGAGTCATTTCCAAAGTCATTAAATGTGAACTCTAAACCATCTTATAAAGGAAAAGGGGCCTTTACCAGCAAGACACATGCTAATTTCAAAATGAAGCAAATATTCTCTTTACTTCTCTGAAGTACCCTGGGACACTTGGGCGGGCTCCTGGGTGCAGAGGGGGCTGCTTTTTATCTGGCATGCCATTATTTCCCATCTTTCCTTTTATTTCTGCCCTTTCTATGGAGGCACAGATGCTTGCCTGCATTTGTGCTGTGCTGTGTTTTCCCATTTATGAGAAGTGTCTGAAGTCCTCTATTTTATGTCATCTCATGTCTCTTGGCATTTTCACTGTTCTGTGGAGTTCCATCATAATTTTTTGATAACCATATGAGGAAGTTTTAGAAGCCTGACATGAACATCTCAGCCATATAAAACACATTTGGCTGATATAAAAATTCTTTTAAAAATAATCTCTCAGCACTAATAGGGGAAATTCTGAATGTGAGTGTGAAATCTTCCACTGTGCAGAGAAAGAATAAAAAGTTACTATGACTGCAGCAGAGATGCTTGGGGAAGAGCTCAGGAGCATAGGATATTGTAGCTCAGGGACAGAACAGCTAAAATTGATTTTAGCTAACAGACTATCTGGAGGGTGAACTGTTGCCTCCTCTTAAACTGGGGCAAAGAGAGGACCCTTCCTCTCTTCAAACAGTGAACAATGGGCATACGTGTCACATGCATGTTAAACTATAAAACTACATATTTTGGTATTACATAAGGTCATTCATAATTGACATTATATATACAACATATTTGCTCATGACCTAATGCTTATGGGAATTTTTGAATTGTTAATAAAAATAAGATATTAGAAATTTAATCCCCATACACTAATGTCCTTAACTTGCAAATTCCCACTACTATGTTAATATTTTTCTATCTTTTTTTTTAGTTTGCTAAATTTCTAATCTGTCAAGTTTGTTATTGATTTGTCTGTATCTGTATATGTGTGTGAGTAGTTAAAGAAAGTACCACATGTTCTTTTTGTATTGTTGTACTAGAGGGGCATTGTGACATTTAGCACAGTTCTTACAATGTATCATACTTGAATTCACCCCTCCATCAAATGATCTCCACACATCCCCATTCCTAGAATAGTTTAAACAGGTCTCATTTTTCCATTTTTATACACAAGTACATAATATTTTCACCTTTCTACACCCTTTCCCTATACGTTCCTCCTCCCACTGGTGCCATTCCCCAGACAGGACCTTTTTGTTTTGCTTTATGTTTTTTTAATTAAATGATTTCCTGCTTTGGGTATTCCATCTTGCAACACAGCTCATAGGTTCATAAGCTCTGGTAACTTAGCAAAGTAGATAAGACTGTGAGACTCAGAGCCAACTGACCTACCTGAGTTTGAATCCAGCTTTATGGTACTTATTAGGCAGCCATCCCTATGGCTTCTCAGTGCCATAAGCAACTCAGTCTACCTGTTGATGCCTCAATTTCCTCATCTACAAGTCAACCATGATAGTAGTAGTCACTTCTTAGGAGCGTCTTGATTAGAACAATGTTTGACACAGAAAGTTAATATTTGTCAAGTAAATAAAAAATAAATATCAAGACTCATAATAGTAATATGTGCATCTTTCAGGGATAATAAAATCTAGCTAATTATGACTTTATGTTTGTGACTATATTGTAACTAAGGTTTGAACTCTAATACCATATATTCAAAACAATTATTCAGGGAACTCTTATATATAAGGTTTTAAATGTGTGTTTTACCTATTTATTATTTTAAGAAAATAAACCTTTAAAATATGCACGTGCTTATAAATACTGGGCTAATGATGGCAGGATTGTTCAGTCAAGTATAAACCTGGATGGTTTCTTATTAACATGTTTCTATGTTGTTTTGTATTTTTGTGCACCTTTACAAGTAATTGAGGAATTTGAACTCAAAAATCAACCTTATAAATTTCACCCTATGAATAATGGAACCCAAACATTTGGCAGAGATATGCAGATAGAAAATATTAGAAAATATTAGAGCCAGCACTAAAACATAGGTCTCTTAATTATATTTTAATGTTATTTTCTTTTTATATACAAAGTGAAAGGAAATACTGTCACCTAAAATTGTTCGATAATCTACTCAACTACTTCAGACCTGTTAGTTAAAATAGAAGTCATATGGGAAATCACGTACTTTCCAAACTTCGAGACTGTCTGCAAAATCAGAGCTGTCTATCCAAATCCTTAGGCCATGATGAGCTAAGAATGGAATATGGAGCTCTAGGTCTATGTTCTAGCTAGAATATAGCCTCTTTCATTTCAGCCTTCTCTCCAGAGTGAAATAACTATGAATAATGGCTGAATAAATTAAGAGAAGTCCTCATTGGAATTCATTCTGCATGCAACCTTTTGCTTTCCAGAAACAAATCACAACTTTCTCACATACGTTTTAAATTATGTTTTCAATTATACCCTGACGGTATGCTTTTGTTCTTAATTTTGTGTTTAAGCCTTGTTTCCTAGGGCCATTCCCGTGTTAATGTTACTTGGTCAGTGATGGGTTAGAAGTTGTGCTCACACAAGTCAATTCAGTTAAGCTTTGAACGTTTCCCAATGGATCACGATGGGGAGTTGGTAGCACATTCAAGTTCAGGAATTTTCAGGTCTGCCTTTTATTTTCCACAGGCCTTGTTAGGTCATCCAGGAAAGTGTGAGCACTCATCAAGGCCCTCCATAGCTCTTTCCTGTCCAAGATATACTGTTGAATTCTGCCTGTTGGAACTGCCATCTAAAGCTAACTGTGAGACTGCCCATTAGCACTGATTACCATCGAGCACACCAGTGCTTCACACAGTGCTTCTGAGTGGGTGATTTCCACTCTCTACTTCAAATCTAGTCAGGTCCCCAGGCAGTGAGGTTGCTGGTTTCCGTCCTCAACCCTGTCATGATAGAACTTGACTAAGAGTGGCAGGCAGGAAGCAGAGACAGTCAAGAGCTCCACAGACATGGCCCATTCTTATCCCACGTACAATATGTGCAGTGTGACTAGGAACTTCTCAAGTTGTTGCTTGGCTCTGGTTGATTACCCAAGTCCTGAAATGGTAGTTTTGGGCAATAACATCCAATTTTACAGGTATTTTGGACAAAGAGGTTTGCTAAGTTCTTCACTCCCTGGTCCTGGAAGTCTTACCTTTCAGACAAAGGCCTTCCCATCACAATTGCTTCTGAGTGTTTAAATCCCTCATGGATTATGATTGAAAAGCTTTGAGGCCATGCTATCACAAGGGGAAAGATACTAAGAGGTGCTGTGGTGCTAAGTGCACGGTACCTTGAACACATTTTCAATGTACCATGTTTTCACCTCACAATGGGTTTATTGGGACTCAACACCATGTTAAATTAAGTAGCATCTGTGATAACTTCAGCTGCACACCCCCACCTTGTGTCTAGTTGCAAGATGTTTGATGGAAATGGCAGATTTCAAAGCTTCCTCTTCATGTTAGAAGGTTAACAAGACATCTGGGTGGATCTCAGGATCTCTTAGTATGCCTATACTGTAAGGCCAAAACAATGGTCCTTAACCCTCACTGCCCATTAGAAGCACAGGAAACTCTTTTTAAAAAGAAATAAAACCAGGAGTCTCAGTACAGACTAGTCCCTAGGATGGAGTCAGAGCTGAGAACCACTTGACTAAAGCTTTCCCTATTTAAGCTAGTTTTACTTTAAATCAGCAACCATCTTTCATGACTTAATGATACTAGAAATACGATGTTTCTATCCTTTCCTTGAGTTTTAAGATGTATGATTCTGCCAAATTTTTCCTGGGTTATCTTCAGTAGGAGGTTACAAAATGGTAGATGAATAATTGCCAATGTTTTGTTTAGTTTTTACTTTTTGTTTTTCTTAAGAGAGCACAGAATGCAGTATTTGCACTCAATTTTCAATTATGACATCTCCACAGAATGCAAGAGCCATCTTATCCCAATGCATTTGCAGCAAGTATTTTTAGTAGAGAATTTCAAGCTTATATTTGATTAATAACAGATAATAAGGATTGGACTTTTTAAAATAAAATACATTTGACTGGATTTAAAAAGTGTCATATTGTAGTGAAAAATAATTGTGTTGGGAAATTTAATTATCACTGCAAAGTAAACTATAACAAAATATCTTTGGATGGCTTTTTCCCTTAACAGGAACTCTAAGATTATGTGTGTACACAATGTAAAAATAGGACATCATATTTCCTAGTTGTCTTTTATTTTTCTAATACCATATTATTTTGTCAATTTGTCTTTCTATGATGGCTTCTTATGATTAAGTTAGGTGACCCTCCATTAGTAATATGGATAAGTGTAAATTTCAGTGTACTACCTACTTACAGCTTTAAGATACAAGGCTCTAATTATTCTTTTTTTAGTATTTACTTCATGAGAGAGACTAAAGGTTCATGAGTCAGATTGGGTTTTATTGTCCT